TGTACACTCAGATAATTCTCATGTATTTAAGATCAATTATCTTTTTTGCCTCATCAATAATTGTACAAAGCTTGTTTTAAATCTGTATTGAAACCGGTGGGTAGTTTATGTTCAGCGCTTTATTTTGATACATTCATCTTTAGAGTAGATATATAGTAGTTGTTCAAACAAAATGGCGGCGCCAAGTCAAGGGGGTCGGATCAATAATCAAGATCTATATTGTGATAAAACGGGTCTTACATTGCGAAATGCATTAAATCACGTGGGCACATTGATTAAAAACATGAAAAGATTTGGAAAATATATGTTGACGCCGAGCTGGCTGTACACATGCTTTGCAAATCCTGCAATCGACCAAAATCTGCACGGCAGTTAACAAACCGGATTTCGATTTCGTTACGCGATTTTGATTGAACTATGCATAGACTCGTTCGTCCAGCCAAAATATAACTCCATAATACCAGCCTATTTCGACAAGGGTGGAAACTGGACTTTTTAAGTCAGTTAACTCACTTGCCTCGGGAAGAATTGATCGGGTGGTCAGACTCGGTGACCTGTTTGATACAAGGCTTCGTATCCCATGCATTTGCGGAGATCGATGCTCATGATATAAAAATCACTGGATTGTCTGGTTCAGGCTTATTTATTACAGACCTCCAACACATAGCTTCGTGCGGCGTTTAACAACAAACAAACAAACAAACATTGTTGTACATGGAACTGGACGGTAAACGACCCTGTGTATCCCCTGCTGCAGCCTATATCAACCTGTGGTCCAGGTGAACGTGGATACAAGGCTAGTACCGTATATTCGCAATGACTGTTATTGCCTTTCGTATTTAACGCGCAGTTGTAGAAACAACAGCCTTCACTGAATAGCCTTTGGAAACGTGTTAAAGATCCTAACAAATATACACACACACACCCCTCCTTCCTCCTCCCCCCCCCCCCCCCCCACACACACACACACACACACTCACCCGGAACAACGCCCTTGAATCCTAACAGCATATGCTATAACTCTATAACTGAAGTTTGTCATGTCAAATAGAGCACAGTATTTGAAAGGTGCCGATAAATCAAACGGAAAAGCTAACATGTTAGTTAAACGGCAACCAGTATGCAACATCCATTGATCTACATAATACCACATAAAAACACCGATATTAGGCGTCCCTGAGTGACGGCCCTATCAATCAAGGCCAGACGTATCTGGGACGCACGCTGGCCTGTGGGTATGTTTGTCTTTGGACAAAGTCGTCTCCACTTCACACATGTTTCTAATTCATGTAAGTACGAAATGTTCAATTTCAGTGATATTAATGCATCAACGTAAACTATAAGCCCGAGTAGTACTGACGGGTGTCATTACCCATTTCCAGCATGTAAAAACAATAGTATTCATTGTTCGGGGAACGCCTCAAAATTACTACGGAATTAAAAAATAAATTCGTGTAGAAATACATAATCAGTAAGATTTATTGATAATCTATTAACAAACTTTGTGTGCTAAATTATTTTTTTCTAGAAAATTAATACGTTACCCTTAAAACAGAATGATATCAATCTGCATTGACCATGCATATCATATCGACTGAAACATGTACATGTACGTGCCTTATCTGGCAAAAACATTCAACAGTTTTGTAGTGTAATCAAGGAATTTGGGGAATACAGGAATGATCTGATAAATCAGAGAACCAGCCTTCAACGCGACCTACCTGCAGCATGAATGTGTGAAAATAATGAATTATCTATGCAATATTCGCTCCTTCAAAACCTTTGACACTCTCCCTCTTTTTATCTTCACATCAAGACGGCAGATTGATCGCCTTCTGATACCACTGCAAGCTTCTGCCGCAAGATAACCGGTTATAATGTCCTTTAATCACGAGTATGTAAAGTCCGTGTTATTTCAGACTTAACTACGGAAGCCTTTTAACACAACTTGTTTTTATTTGTTTGCTCTTTAACGCCGCACTCCAATATTCCAGCTATATGAAGGCTGTCTGTAAATAATCAAATCTGGACAAGACAATCCAGTGATTGACAACATGAGCATCGATCAACGCAATTGGAATGGATGACATGCATCAACCAAGTCAGCGAGACTGACCACCCGATCCCGTTAGTCGCCTCTTTACGTCAAGCATGGGTTGCTAAAGAGCTATACTGCCCCGGATCTTCACGGGACGTTTTTTTCCTTGAAATTTCAAGATAATAACTTGAAATTTCAACTTAGTATCTTGAACTTTCAACTTATAATCATGAATTTCAAGATGCTGTGTTGAAATTTCAAGATACATAAGTTTAAATTTCAAGATAAGAAGTTGAAATTTCAACTTAGCATCTTAAAATTTCAAGTTAGTATCTTGAAATTTCAAGAAAAAAAACACTAAAAAAATGGTCCTAAAAGGTTTCCGTACTCAACTCCACATTAACTTCTTTTTTTCTGCGCGTCTCAAGTCGTAAAACAGGGAATTGTATGATAGGTTATCGGTAATCTGCTCATACGTTCAACGGCAACGGTAACCACGATCACCATGTATCAGTCTCAATAATCGGCTGATTCAAGTTACCGATTTTCCCTGATAACCGATTTGCTTCACTTGCTTCTTCCATATTTGTTCGTTACAAGTGTTCAAGATTGCCACACTTATCAAACCACGATCAAGCCGGTTGATCTTTGAGTACAGTCCGTGTCAATAATAAGTTCACCCGGTATGGCATTTTTGGTTCAAGATCCATTCCAACGTGTGCCACCTTCAGTACCCCCTGGAGCATTCCCCATTCTCACCCTTGATACGCACACACACACACACACGCGCGCACGCACGCACGCACGCACCCACGCGCGCTTATCCCCTCAACGTATATGAAGAACAGAACGTTGTTGGGTACATTGTAGCTGTTACCGTTACCGCCATGTTGGATGAGGGAATGCCCAAGTGCGTGTGTTACAATCAGGGAACAGTTCACACGCCTGCGACATCCTGCCAAATGAGCTCCAACATGTATGTCGATATCATTAAATATGATATTATTGTTTATTTTTATGATCTGATAATTTAATGAATTTAATGGTTTTAAGGTATCATTAAGTGGTTTTAAGGTGTCAGTTATTACTAAAAACGTTTCCTTAGGGAAGCTGGTACAGTATATAGGTAAATGTTCTGGTTGCACGTGCAATGTACGTGCAATCAATGCTTCAAACAAAATGGCGGAGCCCAGTCGAAGACATCTGCTCAATAGTCAAGATCTATATTGTGATAAAACGGGTCTTACCTCGCGAAGTGCATCAAATCACATGAGCACCTTGATTAAAAACATGAAAGACATTGCAAAATATCTGTCGACAGCGATTTGGCGGTACACATGGTTTGCAAATCCTGCAGTCGACGAAATCTGCATGTTGAAATCCATGTTGTTTACGAACCGGATGTCTAGTTGGACTGTGCATAGACTCGTTAGTCCAGCCAAAATGTGACTCCATAATTGCAGCCAAGTTCGGCAAGGGTGGAAACTGGACTTTTATAATCAGTTAACTCCCTTGCCTCGGGAAGATGCAGTCATGGCGGATACACTCCCTGGTTGGCGCATGGAGTGTGTTGATAAAGTAACGATTGGGAGAGTACCGTTTGATAGTATTGTTTGATAGGCATTTCTTAGAAGTTGACGGATGACAAAGATGACAAATAGATATGGAGAGCAACTTTTTTATAATTCTGTGTTTATTATATCGTTTCTAAAAACAACCTCATGTCAATATTATTCATATTCAAAGCCGAATGGCTTCTTGTAGTTTCCGGAGAGAATAGATTTTTGACGAGTATGATACTGTCAGATCCTAAGAAACTCGTACATTAATAACCAGGGTGAGTAAGTATGTTCAGAACACAAGTACTGCTTCTGTATAACATGTCATATTACTGCACTGAGGCCTCGTTCAACAAAGCGACCTTGGTGTTCCGATAGTCTTAAATCAATGTAAGAGTAGGGGCAGTAAGATAGTCTTAGTGCTGAGATCGCTTTGTGGAACGAAGCCCCGATGACTTATAGTGGATGATAGTGTGACCATGTACCCACGTTGCGCTATCACAGCTGAGTCTACATCAGTCCAGGTCCAGGTACGATCCGTTTTATCCAGTATGTCCCTTTGGCACGCCTGAAACCTTTGATTGTGGGTTCGAATCCCGGTTCGCCCCGTGCTCGTGAGTTTCACCGAAGTGGTAAACGTCTGAGACCTGCATCACTTCGGGATTACCTCCCATATTACGCTGACACGCCATGATATAACTGGAATACTGTTAAAAGCGGCGTTAAACCCAACACACTCACTCACTTATCAGTATCATAAATAAGAAAACACACCACTTGTTTGTGAGGTGAGCTGAGATGAGGTGAGGTGAATGGTGTTTAACGTCGCGTCCAAGATTATTGCACTTATTTAGCGACGTGCAATGCACGCGTGTGTGTGGCTATTCGTACTTGTCCGGAATGATGCCGATTTATAGTGCTAGGTCACTGAGATACCATGCCACAGTTTAACATTAATACCCCACTCAGTATACTGACTCCGAGTCGACCAGTCCTTGCTTTAGCCCCTTAGCGCTAGACGGGGAACCAAGTACCACCTTTAAACGTCTTTTGGTATGTCGCAGCCGGGGATCAAACCCCGGACCTTACGCACTCCGGGCGGACGCTCTACCACTAGACCAGGGAAGCGTTAAGGTGTTAAGAAGTTCTTCGACAATATGTTTAGTTCTTAACGCTAACCCATTCCCTTTGCCTGATTCGGTTTTACAGCAGAACTGACTAATTCCCATTTAAAAAATTAATAAACAAGACGAAAATAATTAATTATGTTGTGAAAGGCACGGATTAACAGGTTAAACTCTACCAAACCTTGGACGTAAGAATTATACGCAATGACCCATAAATGTTGAGAGAAAATAAATGAAATTAATAGAACATTTTATAATTATTTCCTTTAATTCCAGAGATATCTTGCTGAAGGAACATCGTCCTCGTGACAAGACTGCGGAAGGGGTACATCGATGATAGCACTATGAGCGTCAGCTTGATTGGTTGGTTGTCGGACACGTGACTTGTGACATGTAAGTAGATTGGTCAGTCGTGCAGACCGGCCTGGGTATGTGAACGTTATAGTCTGATTCTTCCCCTTAAATCAAATTTACATGTGTATTTTTTCTTAGTCTATCGTATATTTATGACTCTGATCTCTGCTGCGGCGTACTGCCCAGTGCGTTGTGAAGACAGATATGTTGGTCGAACACGAGCGATCTGGTGTGTACTTTTGTTGCATGAGAATATAATTATGTGACATACTTCAGGAGTATGTATCAGCTGCTTATTTGGGTAACTTAGAGTCGGGTGCCCTTACAACCTTCAGCAATACACCTGTGTGTGATCTAGTGCTGCATATGACAATGTGTGTGATCTAGAGCTGCATATTGCAATGTGTGTGATCTAGAGCTGCATATGGCAATGTGTGTGATCTAGAGCTGCATATGGCAATGTGTGTGATCTAGAGCTGCATATGGCAATGTGTGTGATCTAGAGCTGCATATGGCAATGTGTGTGGTCTAGAGCTGCATATGGCAATGTGTGTGATCTGGAGCTGCATATGGCAATGTGTGTGATCTAGAGCTGCATATGGCAATGTGTGTGATCTGGAGCTGCATATGGCAATGTGTGTGATCTAGAGCTGCATATGGCAGTGTGTGTGATCTAGAGCTGCATATGGCAATGCGTGTGATGTAGAGCTGCATATGGCAATGCGTGTGATGTAGAGCTGCATATGGCAATGTGTGTGATCTAGAGCTGCATATGGCAGTGTGTGTGATGTAGAGCTGCATATGGCAATGCGTGTGATGTAGAGCTGCATATGGCAGTGTGTGTGATCTAGAGCTGCATATGGCAATGTGTGTGATCTAGAGCTGCATATGGCAGTGTGTGTGATCTAGAGCTGCATATGGCAATGTGTGTGATGTAGAGCTGCATATGGCAATGTGTGTGATTTAGTGCTGCATATGGCAATGTGTGTGATCTAGAGCTGCATATGGCAATGTGTGTGATCTGGAGCTGCATATGGCAATGTGTGTGATCTAGAGCTGCATATGGCAGTGTGTGTGATCTAGAGCTGCATATGGCAATGCGTGTGATGTAGAGCTGCATATGGCAATGCGTGTGATGTAGAGCTGCATATGGCAATGTGTGTGATCTAGAGCTGCATATGGCAGTGTGTGTGATGTAGAGCTGCATATGGCAATGCGTGTGATGTAGAGCTGCATATGGCAGTGTGTGTGGTCTAGAGCTGCATATGGCAATGTGTGTGATCTGGAGCTGCATATGGCAATGTGTGTGATCTAGAGCTGCATATGGCAATGTGTGTGATCTGGAGCTGCATATGGCAATGTGTGTGATCTAGAGCTGCATATGGCAGTGTGTGTGATCTAGAGCTGCATATGGCAATGTGTGTGATGTAGAGCTGCATATGGCAATGTGTGTGATTTAGTGCTGCATATGGCAATGTGTGTGATCTGTAATTTCATATTGCAATGTGTGTGATCTAGAGTTGCATGTGGCACTGTGTGTGATCTAGAGCTGCACATGACAATGTGTGGGAACTGGAGCTGCATATGACACATAGTGTGATCTAGAGCTGCATATGGCAATGTGTGTGGTCCAAAGCTTCATATGGTAATGGGGGCGGTCGGGTAGCCTAGTGGTTAAGGCGTTCACTCGTCACGCCGAGGACCTGGTTTCGATTCCTGACATGGGTACAATGTTTGAACCTATTTCCGGTGTCCCCCGCCGTGATATTGCAGGAATTTTGCTAAAAGCGGCGTAAAACCAAATTCACTCACAGTCACTCATATGACAATGTGTGTGATCTAGAGCTGCATATGACAATGTTTGTGATTTAGAGCTGAAACAAAAAGGGTCATGTTGTTATAGCTATTTAGCTTAATCTATGTCACCGGAATTCGCCGTGAAGAGTTGCGTCCCTTAGCTTTGTCTGGATCTGTTGATCGTCGGTTCGAATCAAACATGCGTGCTGTAATGACCCTTGCGTGACAGTGGCATGCGACCTGCGCCACTTTGGATTGTGCCGCGACATTTATGTCTGCAAACTTCCGTCAGGAAACATGGAACAGAGTTTGACTGTTTCGGAAATTAAGATTATACCCACGGAAGGACGGTTGAACGGTGAGGTGAGGTGATTCTTTTAGCCCCATCTTACCATCTTTTAACGTCTTTTGGTATGACGCGGCAGGGGATCGATCCCCGAACCTTACGCTCGACGGGCGGACTCTGACGGATGAACGAATGGATGGACGGACGTACTGACGGATGGACCGATGAAAATGGATGGACGGGCGGACTGATGGATTGAAGGATGAACGGATGGACGGACGGACAGGCGGACTGACGGATGGAAGGATGAACGTATGGACCGGTGAACGGATGGACGGACGGACTGACGGATGAAAGGATGGACTGAAGAACGGATGGACTGACGGATGAACGGACGGAATGACGGATGAACGGACGGACTGACGGATGAACGGATGGACGGACGGAATGATGGACGGGGTGAACGGACAGGCGAAAAACGGATGGACGGGTGGATGGCCCGAGTCATTGAATGCATTCCAGAGTATGAAAATGCATACCTTACATCTATAACCCCACTGCTTTATTAAATTTATCTATTATGATAAATAGAGCCAGACGGTTTGACCTTGAAAATGATCAAGATCTATTTCTCAACAGCCTCAAATGACATATGTCAAGCTCTTTTCCACATGACATTTTAGATTACGACACAGAAATCCTATAGCATTAAGGAACAATGGCTAGCACATGTCGTGTTTAATGGCGTGTCGTCATCAATTTTGAATTTGCTACAAAATGTCAAGCAGACGTTTTTATATGAGATTTTCGCGTAAAATATCATCTTAATAATCCGACGATGTTGTTATCGGTGGACTAGAGTATTAGATGCCAGTCATTGGATTTATAGACGAATATGCGTGTAATAGGAGCACATTGAATCATTCTTTCTGTGGGTAGTGGTAGGGCTTGGACGGGTAACTCGGGTACCCGGGGCGGGTGGGTCCTGAGTCCCGGACCCGTGGTTAGTCACGTGATATTTTGTTTGATGACCAAAACTCACTTTAGCTCGGTGGTTACACCACAAGTCGCAAATGTTCGCATTTCTTTCTGACGATGCACACATTCCTTTTGTCTGAGTGAAGACAAAGCTTCAGACAACTTCAGTGTTCTGATCGTCTGATACATGTATCTAAATAGACTTGGCCAGGGCTGCGATAAAACAATTCCCAATCAGACATTTTGTTCCCAACTCTTGAGACCTGCAGTGGGTACCTGGGTAGGGTCGGGTAATAGGGGGTCGGGTAATAGGGGGTCGGGTACCGGGGTAGTAAATTTGGACTCGTCCCAGCCCTAGGTAGAGGTTAATCTGTCTCCCAGATCCTAGACAATAAATTAAAATACAATCTAACTTACCTCTAGAATGATTTAGCAAGTCTACATTGCCTCAGCACCTGAAGCGTTGTTCTGGGCTCTATTTGTATTTCTTTTTTCTTTTTGGGTTTATGCACGGAATGGATTAAAGATTATCTTTCCCAAATAAATAACGAAGTCCCGAACCCTGGGTTATTAATTCCACGAAGACAGATATTCCGCACAAGTTGTATTCTATATATTAACTTATGTAGTTTGTTAATGTAGAAAAATATGTTTTGGTCGATCATCAGTAGATAACAACTTAGTTAAATATTGTTGAAAGGACGTCATGAACGAAGGCTATAGAATCATCTCTTATTTGCGACAATGATATGACGTCACGTTGCTTAGAAGCGCTGTTCACTGTCATAGGGAAAATGAAATATATTTGTCAATTTTGACTTACCGAAAATAATTCCCCGACATCCCTTTTTGTAATATATTGTTAACAAATTGAAATGTTGTGTCGACACTGTTTTCTTTATTTCTAAATTATTGACGTTTATACAGCGTTAGAAATTGGCACTAGTCCTATAGCCTCGCCAAACTGCCCAATAGTTAAGGTATCATAAGGACTAGTAGAAAATGTTCATTTTGAAGGGTTTTGCTCTATGTTATCATAAGAACTAGCAGAGAAAATGTGTTAGTTACTACCGCTGTTATAAATTATATCAGACTGCTGGCCACGAAATAAACACTGCCACAGATACAGCCGTAGCATCACAGTAACGCCCCCACCCCAGTGAGCTCACTCAACTGAAAGTCAATCCTGAAGCAATCACCCATGCAGCTGAATTAAAGGTAAACGACCTGTAGGTTTGATATAAAATGTAAATTGTTCCTGCTTCTGGGAACAACAATCACATGTCATAACCAGCGCGTAATAATAACCAAGTTGTAAGTGACGCTTTGTAACTATTGATCGCAATTCCATGTTCGTTTTAGGTTCACATCGATTGCTATTATTTTGACGAATAGATCTTGTGACGTGAATTTATAGGTGTGCTTGCAATGTGTCAAGATTCAGAGATGGTATGCATGTAGCGTGTAAAAGGGGTACGACACACACACCTCCGACTCTATAGTTTACAGGAATAGTATCGAAGGCCCGTTCCAAGTTTGGTGAACAGCACACATCAAAATCGTTAATCCTAAACCCCCGTCTTGAAGCTATCGACGACAATCAAACGTGAATCGCTATTTTGTACCTTTCCTATTAAGGTTGATATGAATGTCAATGTATTTTAATTAGGACTGGGACGGGTAACTCGGGTACTCGGGTCGGGTGGGTCCTGAGTAGGACACGGGTACCAACATGACTACCCGGACCCGTGGTTAGTCACGTCATATACTGTTTAATGACATTAACAATAACTCAGAAGATGTAGACAATATTATCATTAGCGGTGATGGCCTTCCAAGAGATATGTTTCATGTAAGGCTGCAAGTTCCTCTGACGTACCAGTTTCGAATGCATCCCTGAATGCGAGTCAGGGTGTGAGTTGATAATAATTGGTCAATTGGTCAAAGGGAAACCACTCTAACTGAACTTATGCTGAAATGATTACTTGCCCTTTGGTGTGAGGTCATGGTCATCCTAACTTGGACATTCTTTGGTGCAGCATCTAAACTATCGACTCTCGAAATATGTTGGAACAAGGTTGAACGATTAATGGATAAATCACAGTCCAGGTTTGAATTTCTTTCAAAAATATTTGTAATGAATTGCAAATTTTGTTCACCAATGTAATGAAATAGCTGTTGTTCGTGTGGTTGATCCATGATTTCGTGAGTTACTGTATTGTTAGGCCTATTCACATGGTCTTCAAACATTGTACCCATTAATCGAACCCGGGCACTCCGCGTCACCGCTCCACGAAGTTTCGAGGCGTTCAGGTAGAAACGTCCCAGGTTCGCCAGCTCTCATGTGCAGTTGCGTCGTTCTGAAGCGGACCCAGCTGATTTGTGAGCGACTTGTAACCGTGGATGGGCCCTTAGTTCCCCAGCTTGATGGGCCCTGGGTTCTCCAGCTGATTTGTGAGCGACTTGTAACCGCGGATGGGCCCTGAGTTCCCCAGCTGATTTGTGAGCGACTTGTAACCATGGATGGGCCCTGGGTTCTCCAGCTGATTTGTGAGCGACTTGTAACCATGGCTGGGCCCTGAGTTCCCCAGCTGATTTGTGAGCGACTTGTAACCATGGATGGGCCCTGGGTTCTCCAGCTGATTTGTGAGCGACTTGTAACCGCGGATGGGCCCTGAGTTCCCCAGCTGATTTGTGAGCGACTTGTAACCATGGATGGGCCCTGGGTTCTCCAGCTGATTTGTGAGCGACTTGTTACCGCGGATGGGCCCTGAGTTCCCCAGCTGATTTGTGAGCGACTTGTAACCATGGATGGGCCCTGGGTTCTCCAGCTGATTTGTGAGCGACTTGTAACAACGGATGGGCCCTGGGTTCTCCAGCTGATTTGTGAGCGACTTGTAACCGCGGATGGGCCCTGAGTTCCCCAGCTGATTTGTGAGCGACTTGTAACCATGGATGGGCCCTGGGTTCTCCAGCTGATTTGTGAGCGACTTGTAACCATGGCTGGGCCCTGAGTTCCCCAGCTGATTTGTGAGCGACTTGTAACCATGGATGGGCCCTGGGTTCTCCAGCTGATTTGTGAGCGACTTGTAACCGCGGATGGGCCCTGAGTTCCCCAGCTGATTTGTGAGCGACTTGTAACCATGGATGGGCCCTGGGTTCTCCAGCTGATTTGTGAGCGACTTGTTACCGCGGATGGGCCCTGAGTTCCCCAGCTGATTTGTGAGCGACTTGTAACCATGGATGGGCCCTGGGTTCTCCAGCTGATTTGTGAGCGACTTGTAACAACGGATGGGCCCTGGGTTCTCCAGCTGATTTGTGAGCGACTTGTAACCGCGGATGGGCCCTGAGTTCCCCAGCTGATTTGTGAGCGACTTGTAACCATGGATGGGCCCTGGGTTCTCCAGCTGATTTGTGAGCGACTTGTAACAACGGATGGGCCCTGAGTTCCCCAGCTGATTTGTGAGCGACTTGTAACCATGGATGGGCCCTGGGTTCTCCAGCTGATTTGTGAGCGACTTGTAACCGCGGATGGGCCCTGAGTTCCCCAGCTGATTTGTGAGCGACTTGTAACCATGGATGGGCCCTGGGTTCTCCAGCTGATTTGTGAGCGACTTGTAACCGCAGATGGGCCCTGAGTTCCCCAGCTGATTTGTGAGCGACTTGTAACCATGGATGGGCCCTGGGTTCTCCAGCTGATTTGTGAGCGACTTGTAACCGCGGATGGGCCCTGAGTTCCCCAGCTGATTTGTGAGCGACTTGTAACCATGGATACAAGCCAAAGACTAAACAACGGTCAAAGTAGTGGAAACAATTGTCCCCCCCCCCCCCCCCCCCTTCACCCCCTTCTCCGAAGAAGAAGGTAAAGCTGGCAAAAGTATAGCTTCCGTTGTCTGGGATTTTAAAAGAATCCTACTGTTGGTATCTCCCAAAAGGTTTGACCATTAATGGCCTTACTTATGCAAATTTTCCTTAGCAACTGGTAAGAATATCGAGGCTAAACGCGGTGGGAAAAGTCCCTAAAGGTGTTCCACCAGGACAGTGCTCCTGTGTACAAGTCTGTTGTCGCCATTGCCCTAATGCATGACAGTGACTGTCAACATATATCACATCCAGTATTCAACAGATTTAGCACTGTCAGATTTCCACCTCTTCCCAAGCTGGAAGAAAGAACTGTCAAGGAAAGTGAATACACTATTAGAAAGTGGTAAAAAGTAAAAAATGTTACATTTGGAATAACACTTTCTGAATAAAGTACAGATTGAAGTACCTTTTTTGGGGTTAAGTCCCATCCGGGATTCGAACCCACACTGCCAGAGTGGGGCACCTAATCGGCAGCACACAAAGTCAGCAATCCAACCCACTCAGCCGCCCATGCTTCCACAAAAATGAAAGATGATGATGAGGTCATTTTTCTGTGAAGAACTTTTACACCCCCAGGCAGGAGCCTCCCACACCAGTGGGATCCAGGCACCCCAGCATCGTTGCCAGAAGTGTAAGGCCTCCAAGAGGGTTATTTTGAAACATATCTATCAACCAACTCCATCAACCCAGCCAATCATAGTTCCCCTCCGAACTTTTCAGCCACCCCTCCAGTACCCCAGTGATGCATAAGGAGAGAATAGGTCTCCAATATATATGCCCACTTTAATGAACCAACTTGTTGGCTGTGTCATTGTGGCATATCAGACATTTAGCTACAATAATGAGAGGGGGACTTATTAAATGACGCCGCCAGGTTCGTAAGATCGGGTGCGTTTACATAGATTGCTATTGGCTTAGGTCTTGAAGCAGTATATAACGGAAATAATCTTTGTACCTGTATATTTTGAGTTTTATATATCATGAGGAATTTATTTTTTATAATAATTTGTGATTATATGTAGAAAGAAGCATGTGTTTGTTGTAGTTGATATGTATGTCCACGTATGTTTTACTTTCACCTAACCACTTTGTTTATTTTGGATCGGGGATGTTTACATAATGTCCTACCGACATGTTTATGAGTGTAATTTGATCTCGTCCCAGTATGGCTGGGCTACTACCGATCACTCGCTTATCCAGGCTTGTTTATTTACAAGCTGTCCTCGTCTGTCATAGAGACCCTGAAACAAATATATCCAATATAGCCCATGCAAGTCTATAAAAGTTAGCAAGTCTAGATAACTGCAGTTTCTTCTGAAAATGAAGCGACTCTCTTGGCTCCTTTTTAATATATGTTTTTAATACAATTAACAACTTTTTTTCTGTAAAATATTTCATTTCAGAGACTAAATGTTACTCTAAAGCTGCCACAACCGCATTTGTCACCAGTAGAAATACGTCAGTGTTTCGCTCTGAAAATAGTCCTGCCATGTCATTGCTGAGAATACCCACGAAGAAAATATATCTTACGATTTTACAATTTATAGAATAATACAGGAACACTCACAGATAATAACTTCTTTATCATATAATGCCATTATAAAATAAACCAAGTTTAAGATTGACGTAAATTTGCATTTTCTAAAGAAACGTAAAGAACCTCGTAGGAATACAAGGCATAAGTAAACCGCCCCATTTATGACATAGTGCTCACTGATATGCATAATATGTTGTTAATTTGTAGCCAAACTAATATTCTCAACTAACTCTCTATTTGTGTGTTTGCCAGGAAAGCACTTTCTGTTGGCGCCGCACCCTGTTACGGGCTATTGTGTATTACATGACCCACTTTAGAAAACCTTTATAAGTAGTATTGTCATGGCGCTGAAATCGATGTGTGCAAGTGCGCACACGGTTCAGAACTCATGCACAGCTAAATACAACTGAGTATGACGTCACGATAACAGCCCTAAATATAGACGTAAAATCATTTTGTTGTAATGAAACCTGATATGCGCGTTTCATATCATGCATTTTATCAACATTTTCCTTAGCGGTGGCAGCTGAAGGCCTTCCTCTCTCTCTCTCTCTCTCTCTCTGTGTGTGTGTGTGTGTGTGTGAGTGTGTGAGTGTGTGAGTTGGGTTTAACGCCGCGTTTAACAGTATTCCAGTCATATCACGGCGTATCAGCTTAATGTGGGAGGAAAGCCCGATATGATGCAGGTCTCAGACATTTACCACTTCGGTGAAACCCACGAGCACGGGTATGGTACTGACAAACCTCGAAACATAATCGGGGCGAACCGTGATTCGAACCCACAATCATAGGTTTCTGGCGTGCCCAAGGGACGCAACTCTGCACAGCGAATTGCGGCGCCTTAGACGACTGGGCCACCCGTGCCCCCTTCATACTTGAGAGAACTTTTTATTGCAATTCCCGGAAGAAATTTATCTATGTTATCAAGTCGTATTGAGGAAAATAATAAAATGTATTCATGGCTATTTCCTGTTAATATTCAGTCAATAAATGCCACGTCAGTTCAAGCCAGCCTACGAAAGTGTTCAGCCTATTCATTTCTCAGCAGTTATTAATTCATGTATGTCATCTTCATAACCAAACCTAACTGGAAAATGCCATGCTCCAGGATGGTTAAATGTCAAAATATGAATACTTGATGAGTTGAAATATACACTCAGCCAATCAATACGTTCATGGCTGTCTTTGCAGTAGCAAATCAGAATGCGTCTGACTGCCCTCATCGTGAGCGTGCTAGCAAGTCACATACTGAGGACCCAGGCCTTGAGGCCCAGAGCAAGAGTGATCAGAAAAGGTAAGGTCTTCTCGAGAAGTATCGGATGTAATAAACATATGCCTAGTGCACTAGTGAGTCGTAGTATATATTCAGCAAGAGATATTCGATGAGTAACACTAGCCGAGCATACGTAAACTCACTGTGGGATTTCAGGGATGTTGTATATGTTTCCTTGTATTTACTTCGCTGAGTACTTAACACTTTGTAGACTAGTAGGCAACAATTATCATTTATATGTAGTTTTCATTTTGTTGTGATAACATTCACATTTTCTGTAATTTAATGTATTTCGGATGATATGTTTAAATTAAGTCAATATCAAGTGTTCTAATTTTGTAAATAAATGCAGTTAATAAATAAAAACATTTATTATTATATAGTATATAAAATATATACATTGGTGAATTATCCGTGCTGTAGGGAGAAGTCTCTCACTTCTCATTGTTATATATAAATATATGTTAATATATAATTCATTGTACTTCCTGAATTCTGATTATCTGCGGCTGATAAATACAGTTTTAACATCGGTTTTTCGATTGATACCTCAATGATATATACTGCTACAATGTATGCATGACAATAACCTACTGATTATAAGTTACACTTGCAAGACGTTCACCAGGCTACACCAGTGATAAAGCCTGTATTTACTGATAGTGTTGCCAGGTTCAGCCAGGTTCAGCCAGGTTCAGTCAGGTTGTCCTTTACGTGACGTTATCAAGCAGAACACTTCGACTGTACCCGTACGCTACTTGTGAACCAGGGCCCACTTGCACAAAGCGATCGTAATGCAAAGACGATCTTAACTCCCATACTTTAACATAGGCTTACGATAGTCGTAGCGCTAAAATCGCTTTGTGGGACGGGCACCGGGTCCCGTACTCAAGTATTATGAAGACTCAGTCGTAGCTGTTTTCTCCGGCTGTTTTATCAGTTTATTCCGGGGGTGTTGGGGTACTAAGCCACACGTCTCACTGTGTCGTACAAACTTGGTCTCGTTTTATTCATTTTGATGAATCACGCTGGCACTTTTTATCATTGACAAAAAAATTACGAGACTTCTTTGAAGTGAACACTTTATCACAACCAAGGCAGCAACTTTATCACAACCAAAGCAGCAAGTCGTTTCAAATTCTATTTGCATTCAATATTTGTTATACATAGATCTACTCCAGACATTTTACAATCGTGATATATCCAATTGCTATCGCTCTGTCAGATACAATAGAAAATCCGCGCGTTTCGTAACAATGGTATGTGACGAGAATAGGTGACCGTGTAGTATTGTCCACGTATCAGGTAACGATGCACCGCGGATGTGGAAAAGGTATCAATATTTTACGTCCGCTTCATGTAATGGGGTGGAGGTATCATTATTTCATTGTCATATTACAATATCGGAAACAAGTCCGCCCAAACCTTGTCAGAAGGAGTGAGTGAGTGAGTGAGGTTGCACGCAGTTTATATAACAGAGGTCATCAATATACGTTCCAGGCAACTATGCTTGCCGTAAGAGGTGACTAACGGGATGGGTGGTCAGGCTCGCTGACTTGGTTGATGCATGTCCTCGTATCCAAATTACTTGGATCGATGCTCATGATGTCAATCACTGGATTGTCTGGTCCAGACTTGATTATTTACAGACCGCCGTCATACACCTTGAATATTTCTGAGTGCGGCGTTAAACAACAAACAAACAATATAAGTTCCACACATGACATATGTACCGATTGGGGATACGAACCGAGAACTGCGACTAGTGGACGAATCAACCATAAGACACCACCACATAAATCTATAAGAATGAACTCTTATTTCCATTTAGCACTAGCTGCGACATCCTCGCTATGTTCGGTATCACCCCTTTTGCACTGTCTGAAACCTATTAAAGGTGACCAAAAAATAGTGATGGCAAGAGTCGAGTCACTGGAGCATGTACTGTGACAAGTTCAGCTGGTGTGAGTGAGTGAGTGAGTGAGTTGGGTATAACGCCGCTTTGAACAGTGTTTCAGTTATATCGCGGCGTTCAGGAAGTGAGTGAGTATGGTTGTACGAACGAACGCTTAAACCAATAGTAATTAGTGTTCAGTGGCAGATACATATTCATACATTCTTTTGCCATAGACCGCCTCCGTGGTCTAGTGGTAGGGCGTCCGCCCGGGGAGCGGAACGTCCAGGGTTCAATGCCCGGGCGTCATACCAAAAGACGTTAAAAGATGGCACTTGTTGTTCCCCTGTACTTGTTGTGAGTCAGTATACTGTGTCTGAGTGGGATATTCATGTTAAACTGCGGCATGGTATCTCAGTCTGCTAGCACTATAAATTGACATCAGTCCTGACTAGTACAAGCAGCAACACACACGTACATGCACGTCGCTATATAAATGCAATAATCTTGGACGCGACGTTAAACCCAACCTCACCTCATCTCACGTTCTTTTTCGATACAATTCGATATATCGACGAAACATCGATTGCACGTGAAACCCGAACATTTACGTATATACTGTACCAATTTCCGCAAAGGAAACTTTTTATCAATAACGATATCATGTTAGGTACTTCCGTGTCAAAGAGACACCACATTGAATATTGTATGTAAATGTGAAATGCCAGTTCTTGAATTGTTTGTTTGATATTCTGTTTCTGTGTCACGCGTTATGTTTTGTCGCAAGTCTCAACCAGAATACTTGACATGTACTTGTTCAAGGAATTAATTACATGCAAGAATACATGCGTATATCACTTTACTGATTGTTTGAAAAGTGGGTTTTACTTTGAATGTTGTTAAACCGTCATTAGTAAAGAAAATATCCCGAGAAACGGGTTATTAAGAGGAGCATAATTATTTGGCAGAAAACACGAGAAGGAGGTTTTATTCATTATCATACCCCGAACCCATCATTCTACCCCCCAAAATACATAAAAAGGTTTTAGTTTAAAAATATTAAAAATTAAACAAATAAAAAATGTTTGCTGAAAGACACACTTCATTTCCTTTTAAACAAATGTGATAGGAAAAACATTATGTGGAAATATTCTCCTTTCTCAGAAAAAAAACATCGAATCTTTAGAAGCAGTTATTGAAAAAATAGCCTGAACTTATCCATATGTCCCACCAACCACTTCCGAATATCAAGTGTCGGGACTCTAATGGTGTCGGGACTCCATGATAAGAACCGAGAAGCTGTCGGTCCGAGAGTGACATTACACGTCCTTAAATCAAACTATGAAGGTTCGAGTCCCGCTGGTGACGTTTTCCTACAAAAACTTAAATCATTTTCTAGATCCGCCAATTAATGAATATGTCAGTTCACGATAATGTAGGCAAGCACAATTGACAACCGTGTCTATTCATTAAAACTTTTGCTCGTTTAAACACGACTGGCGTCACGGATGGGATTTAAGGGTGTGAGATATTTATTGCAGTTATCTACGATGAAAACAAAAATATCCAGTACGTTTTTCCACTCAGGAGAGCCGGTGTAATATGTTGTTACGAATCGATAAGTTGAAAGGTTGTAAAATTATATAGTCGGAATAGATATTTCATTAACGCTGGTCTCAAGTCGTATAAGTGTCTTCAATAGATCGGCTGTATTTGTGCTATTGTCGATATTTTATTGAATTCTTGATCTTAACGCCTGTTACGGCTATTGTCGTGTAATAGACGTACAATACGGTGGTTGTGTGGCAGCAATTGACACAGTGTATGCCGCACTACTTCATGTAGCGTTATGTGGAACTAAAACGCTCTTGACTGTTTCAGATATTGTGGAGAATCCTCCGAAACACCACAATTTGTCACCTGCGGTTCGTAATAATTTACCATTTGGGTTCAAGCACATGGGGAACCTGAAAATGGGAAATTAGGAGGAAAAGTGTTGCAAGATGGGTCGGGTAAAACTGGACAACATGTTGGTACAAGACCTAAGAAAAAGAAGTATAAATTGAAGAAAATTAAACAGACATCGGCCACGGACACAAGGCCTAGACTGTCACCGCCGGTCTCCGTCGTTACACCCCTACACAACATGGTAGGCCAGGTCAACAGGGCCATCGGCCACGACAGGGGACGGAACCCAGTCCTGGATTTCGTGGCAAACAGAAGACCGAAACCTGTAGCTGAATCCAAGAGCAGTGATGGCCTCACAAATGAATTCAATGAACTCAACCGTCTCCCCCAAAATGATCATCCGGCGTCGGACCAGAAGAACGGGGACATGAAGGCCAGGTGGGACAAGGATATGTTCTTTATAAGATGGACGTATGGTTCCCTAGGGGATCAGATGGCCGTCCGCCGGGCGCCCCACGCCAGTACTGGCGCACCATGGCCGCTGCCTCATCGTTATGCCAGGAACGAACAAAAGGTGTTTAAGGTGGACGAAAGCAGGTTTAAATTCCTGATAAAGAGTCACTCCTGTGATATAATCGACCAGGCGATAGAGCGGTTCAGGAAACATATTGTGGAGGATGCTGTGGAAGATTTGTATGATAATTTGCAGAATGCTGAAAACACGAATATAAATGACCCCCGCATTAAGTATGACAGTGATGTGTACAAGCTGGCCCCTGAACTCATGGAGGTGGAGGTCGTCATTAATAAACCCTGCGTCAAATACCCAAGTCTTGAGATGGACGAGTCATGTGAGTAGACTTCTTTGTTTGTGTTGTTGGTTTGACTCCATGGTCAACAGGTTTTGTCTCCCTGTGTAGAGATTTGTTTGTTTGTTTGTTTAATGCCGCATTCAGGAATATTCTTTCGGCGGTCTGTAAATAATCAAGTCTGGAAAAGACAATCCAGTGATTGACATCATAAGCATCGATCCACGCAATTGGGATATGATGACATGCATCAACCAAGTCAGTGAGCCTGACCACCCGATCCTGTTAGTCGTCTCTTTGCGACAAGCATAGTCGCCTTTTACGGCAAGCATGCGTTGCTGAAGACCTATTCTACCCCGGATCTTCATGGGTGTCATGTGTAGAGATGAATGTCGGTGAGTCAGGAGAATAGCCAGCAGTCCGAACTTGACCATTCAGAATGGATCGAGCTAGAACCAGAGACCATATAATAGATCTATTATATGGTCTCTGCTAGAACAAACTTCATGTCTTTGAAAATCTCTGGATGGGATGCCCCCATTTACCCACAAGGGGCTTAGAAAATGCATTACTGCAGAAAAATCTTGCCAATTCTTTTTTGACTGCAGACATTTCTGTAAGATGAATACATGACACATTTTTATGGATAGCAACTTGTTATATTCTTTATGTTGGTTGTTGGTTGGTTGGTTAGTTGTTTAACGACACACAGCAATATTCCAGCTATATGATGGTGGTCTGTAAATAATCGAGTCTGGACCAGACAATACAGTGATTAATATTATGAGCTTGGATTGATGACATGCATCAACCAAGTCAGCGAGCCTGACCACCTGATCCCATTAGTTGCCTCTTACGACAGGCAAAGTCGCCATCTACGGCAAGCATGCAGTATACTGAAGACCTATTCTACCCCGGATCTTCATGGGTCTTTAATTCTTTATGCAACATTTTAGTGCTACTTCTTGCTCCTTCTGTAGGATATATCTTTTTCCTCTAGTCATTTCTGACAGAAATGATTTTTTGCTTCAGAAATATCTGGTAGACTTAAATGTTTTTCACTGATATCAATTTTTTATTTACTTCAGAAATATCACTCAGAAGATATTTTGTATTAAAAAAATCTGCATTTGTGTTGAAACACTAGGCTCTGCAAATCAATCCACATGGCAGTGAGATACAAAATCCCATTTAGTGACAGTGGATGGAAGGATGTAAAGATAGCCAGCACATTATGTCAAGCACTCGCATGACTAACAAGAAACAATTCGTTGTTTCATTCTGGTATCAAGCATGGTCTGCTACACTACAATGGTGGGGCACTATAGTTCAGGATAACATCATCACTGACTCGGGACATATGTTTGTGTAAACAATGTAATCATAGGCACACAACAAACAAGCTTGATCCAACTTGGTGTCTATTAGTAAAACATTGTCAGAGCTACAGATAAGCTGCGTATTTGCGTAAAATACCCCCCAAAATATTCAAAACCCAATTACTTTCATTTAACTTGCATACAGAAACACCTGCATTAAATGAAAAACTCAAATGTTTAAAAACAGCATGCGTAAATAACATATGAAGCTTTTTCAGCATGCATACAATGGAGCTAATTTCCGAAACACAATTATGAGCTAATTTACTTTCCGAGTCAAGCCTATAGTTAGAACACTTATACACATCAAAAATATTATTTCTTTTTTTGAAATCTCAAAATGTTTACTCCTTTGGGGAAAAACCCAATAGAGTGATGACATGAAGAGTGAAAAAATATTGGTTACCCAATGAAAAATGTAATACTCAGTCTCCAATTAAAATAGAAACCTTCGGGATCAAACAGCTCCCATAAATGTAAAGACTACAGTCAAATTTGTCAATACAGTCACTTAACAAAAACTGCTGTCAGCAAGCAATATTCAAATATTTTCTGTAAAAATATGTATGCAATATGGAACAAGTAACTAAATTTCTTATTTTGCAACAATTAATGTAATTTGTAATATTGCAAAACAATATTGCTGTACACAATCCTTTGTGAAGGTCATTTAGCAACAAACATCTGGTTTACAGAGGTCAAAAGGTCATGTATCTTTTAAGCAGTCAGTCACAAGAAACAGCCCCTCTTTAAAGAGCTGCAAATCCCTAGCCTTTGCCTCGATGGCCGAAGCAACAACTGTTTTGCCTTTGACCAGCCACGAGGTACCTGACGGGGTATCTGACGAGGTACCTGACGGGGTATCTGACGAGGTACCTGACGGGGTATCTGACGAGGTACCTGACGGTCGAATAGGCAAAAACACCATTGAACACTGGCCCTGCATTTTGCCATTGCTCCCCCGATGAAACCTGCTGGAGGACAAGTGGGAGGGGGTTCTAAGATGGGGTTTTCCAGTTTTGCACTTGACTTTTGTTGCCCATGACAACATTTTCACTTTGGTGACGCCAGCACTTTTGCTGTAAAGGTTGAATCAAGGTCAAATTTTATATGTCAAAATATGGAACACATGGCCCTTCTACACCTATGCCAAACTTCTATACATTTGTGAAAAGATGGATAAGTGATGACAACAAATAGATGCTGGTGCATGTTAAACAAATCTGATCGCAATTCTTTGAGCAGTTTTAGAGATTCTACATCTGGGATCATCCAAAATTCAGCAGATGTCATGCGAACTGTAATCACAGCTGGTCACATCTGACAGATTATTTCTTACTTCTTATTCTGAAAACCACATTCTTAAATTGCAGCTTATCATAATCAAAAATGACACATGCAGAAATGACAGAGTATTTGCCAAATGGAGTCATTATTCAAATGTTAGCCATGTTTAAAATTGGATTGGAATTGCTCGAGCAATTTTATGAGATGCCATTACTGCCATCCTACAAAATATCAGCTGAATAATGTCTAGATCCATTCCTTGGCAAAGTTCAAATGTCAATTTTGTTGAAAAACTATGTTATAATCAAGGGTCATCAGTGGCGAAGGGATGCATCTAATGTTGCAAGAGTGAGTGACTGAGTGAGTATGGTTTTATGCCGCTTTTTAGCAATATACCAGCAATATCATGGCAGGGGACACCAGAAATGGGCTTCACATATTGTACCCATGTCGGGAATTGACCCCAAGTCTTCGTCGTGACGAGCGGTAGCTTTTACCACTAGGCTACCCAACCGCCCCCTAATGTTGCAAGTACACAAATGACAACATGAAAGGCAGCTTGGGTTGTATACTCCCCAGGGAGCTGAGAATGTTGGTGAGTGAACACTGATCCAGGGACTGAGTAAATAATAGCGCTTTGAGCATGTCCGTGTTGTGTGGTTAATATGTGCAATATAACTGGCCTATTATTATAAGTACAACGTCTAACCATAAAATTTTATTATTTTAGAGACAGATCCAATTGGCTGGCTAGAGAGGTTTGTAGTTGACATGTCAACAAACTGGTTTGGACTAAAATCTATCAAATTCAACATCAAAGAAGAATAACATTTTAACAATTGAAATAAAGCACGAGATAACTGAATTATCATATAATGGGTAGGTTTCTCAGCAGGATAAAGCCAACGGATGCAAATATCAAAGGTCAAGTAGGGACTACTTTCACTGTTTATAAACAAACATGGCGTCGCCCTTGTCATTTGGCTATCGAGTCAGAATTAACCATCGGGAATCTGGATAAACTACAGGGATAACTGCTATCATTATCAAAAGAACAGTCTAATATACTGAAAATCAGTGTCTAACTGTGACGTAGCTAAGGCATTTTATAAGTTTGGGCAACTTTGGAGATATAAATTTCAAAACAATTTGCAAGGGCATGAGGCCTAGCCAAGCAGGATCAGTAGCCATATCTATACTTGTAGACCTCTGCGGCTTGAAACCTTCTCTACAAATTAAAATAGTTGGATTTGGCCGAAATAGGTTTGAATTGTTACCTTGTTTCTTTTTGTCGCTGTGTGTACATCTGTGTGTGTACTACACTTCTTAATGTTATGACAGGACAGACCAACTGTCAACAACATCTGACCATGGCCATGACGTCTCATAGACTAGGGTTAGATTAGCTTCCCTTCGCCACTGTAAAAGAAACAGATTTTAGTTGGAACTATATTGGCTACTGTCACTGTCCGACTGACACATCACTTACCCTGTGACGTAATAAATATTAATGCGCACATTCCAGGAAAACTCGCAATGTTTCGGTACTGTTTGTGAGAGAGGGAAAGCGATTTTGAAGCATGGAATTAAAGAATGACATTATATGATAAAGAGGTTATCACGCTTGGGTGTTTGGGGATGGTAAATATCCTGTATTAGGAATAAACACTATTTATTTAGCTCGCCAAGGCTCGCTAAATACAATGCCAAACACACTCGCGTGATAACGTCTATTTGTCAATCTCGTATGACCATCTAGGATATCAAATATCTGTTGACTAGAAACTGTGAAAACTTTCATTAATGTTTAATCACGACAGGTTAATTCTTACAAGTTACAGAGAATAAAGCCAAGCAACAAGACACTGAACAGTTGATGTTTGGCTAAAGAATGTCATATTGCACTAAACACATAGGAGCTCTTGTCCAGTAATGAGTGACTTTGTATTAGCACTGCCTTGACCAGTATTTTACTCTTATAATGCAGCAAGTCAGCTTAATATGCAAGTGACAGCCTCCATGGTTTAGTGGTAGGGCGTCCGCCTGGTGAGCGGAAGGTCCGGGGTTCGATCCCCGGCAGCATCATAACAAAAGACGTTAAAAGATGGTACTTGTTGTTACCCTGTCGAGCGCTCGGAATTAAGAGGCTAAAACGAGATCTGGTTGGCTCGGAGTCAGTATACTGTGTCTGAGTTGGGTTTTCATGTTAAACTGTGACATGGTATCTTAGTGGACTAGCACTATAAATCGGCATCAGTCCGGACTAGTACATGCAGCCATACACACAGTCACACACACATGCATGCACGTCGCTAAGTGCAGTAACCTTGGATGCAATTTCGGCTGACCTGCCCTTCTTTGCGACTCGAGTGTGAGTAGGGTACACATACATATCTGGAGTTTTAGCATTGATGAAATTCCGGTTTTTGTATTGATAAGATTTCTATTTTTGTATACTGATATGATTTGAATTTTGATTTTTAGAAATTGATATAATTTCTTTGGCTGCTCTGTTCATATACTTTCAAGCAGCTGACCATCCTTCAGAAATAGAGTTAGTTTGGCCATCGCTTATGCACTTCTTCGCTTTAAGAGATCTACGACAGATAGCGGATCTAACTGAGGTTTTAGCCCTGGGCTGGGGCATGGTCTTGACATTCCAGTAACAAGTGCAGCAATGGACTTGGGTTGATTGCAAGATGGGCATACCTTGTCATAGTGCTTCCTGTGACTGAGTCTGAATCTGAGGCAACTCTCAACTTTCCTTTCAATTGAGTTTGAGTACAGCTTTTTGTGGATTTGTGATGTTTGCTTATGTAGCTTGACCCCTTCCGTATGCTCAAGTTTGGAATGCTGGCCATTCCTACGTTATCTCGTCCTGGGTAGAATAATTTTCATTTTGTATGACTTCCTTGTGGTGTTACCCTGCATTGTTTAGAGGTGATACATAATTTGAATGATGCTCACATTGCTACAGGCTTACATATCAACTGTACAAAATGGGAAAACAATAAAAGTCAATGGAAAGAAGTTTTTTCGCTGTATTTAAGTATGTTATTAAAGTTGGCTAAATCAAGATGTGCTAACATATCCAATGGTGTTGAGAATGAAGAGCTGCAGACAAAAATAACTGCAAAAAGGACCATTTCCAGCCTTTCAGTCGTCACATCTCGCTTTGGACAGTTATGTCCCTTCCCCGTTCCAGGATCCGCTGATCATGGGTTCTAATCTACAATTTTCTTTTGTTCAGTCAGCATACCAAAACTTTGCTTCTAATTAAACATTTACGACCGGCCTCATTTAGGGATATCTTCTCACACCACACTGCCATTCCGTGATATATCTCAAGTACAGTTCAATTCAGGGTCGTACTAACCACTAGCATTCCCTCAGATGTCTTCACCAGGTATTGCAAGGTCAAGGTCACCTTCCCATGGTGACTTTGAGCTTGCACTGAAAGAACTAGTTCTATTGATTTCTTTTCTAACTTGCAACAATGGGTTTAATTTTGTAATGGTTAAACTATGAATGTAGCCATTTTGCACCTTTATAGATTATTTGCTGTTGACACAATCAGGGCTCTTTTAACTCAGGAAATGTGAATTTTTAACGATAATGAAAATTTGTCTTGGAAATGATCAGACATGTTTGTACAACTAACAGCAAACCTTGTTCTGTCAAGTTGCAAGGTTTTCACTTCTGATTTGATCAGTTGAAAGGGTATGTGATAAATGAGTGAAACAGGTCGATTCTAGAAAGTTCAAGACACTTCAAGTCCAGGCTCAAATATATTTTACGTGGCGCCAAGTGTGGCATTAAACAACAAACAAACAAACAAACAGTCCTTGTTTGAGGCAGGCGTTTATTCTTTTAAAGGAATGGATCAAAAGGATAATGTTTATGATTCTTTTCAGCCATGTGGTGTTAAGCTAACAGCCACAATGTACACAAACTTGACACTATAGCCAAGTCAGTCAGCCATGTCGGTCATATTCCCCTGTGGCGTTAAGCTAACACAGCCATGATGTACACACATTTGACACTATAGCCAAGTCAGTCAGCCATGTCGGCCATATTCCCCTGTGACGTTAAGCTAACAGCCACGATGAACACACACATGACACTATAGCCAAGTCAGTCAGCCATGTCGGCCTTGTTCCCCTGTGGCGTTAAGCTAACAGCCATGATGTACACACACACGTGACACTATAGCCAAGTCAGTCAGCTAAGGGTGAAACGATACACCGATATTCCGATGCATCGCGATACTTGACCCACGATACGATATACGATAAACGTGGGCCCATTTATCGATACGCCACGATACGGAAAGCAAATCTCAAGTACAGCGTTTCCTCGCTATTGTGCCTTACAATAAACCGCTAACTTGGTTATAGCGCGCGGTAACGCATGGCTCCCAAAAACGTACTTACATTTTTAATAAGCTCAGGTTTTTACACCGACAGATCTCATTAAACATTATCAGCTGATCCCTGCAAGCACATAACAATGGAAATACAAGTCAGCAAGTCGAACTGAAGTACGCAATTAAATACCATCTTGTTATTAAAACGTGTTCATTATATATCTGGACTTGTGTTTGTAATATATTTTATTAATTTTACTCAAAATTTCATTTAATATTGTTTTCATTAAGTTAGGTGAAATCGTTGTGAAGAGATACAGCAACCACGGTCAGATTACCGCTTTTGACGCATTGAAATGAACTTTAGTTGCTAGAGAATGGATACATATATTAAAAATGCCATACTTTGACTCGTCAAAAGTCATATTTGTGGCAATTTGGCTAATATATGTCAACATAACGTTTTCGCAATCGAAATACATGTAGCACGGGAAGTCCCCAGGGTGACTGGTCAAATTGTTCCATACGTAAAAATATCCTGCAACCCCAATCACCAGTACCAAAATGCTACACTTGTGGTTCTTATAATTTTATATATATATAGTAAAAGCTGCAACTAAGGTAACACGATATTGGAATATATTATTCCTGATAAAACAAAAAATATAGATATAATTTCTTCGACCATTGCATCAAAATTCTTTGACGTTGTATCACTGGTGGAGCACATTAATTATTTTCTGGTGTTTGGACTTTGGATTGTTTTTTAGGAAAGTTAGAGAAAGTTCCACTTTGAAGCTGAACAACTTCAGTAGTCTTGTTATTATAAAATAATTTTGACTGTTCCAAAATCATGAAAGGTTCAATCTTGACATGCTTTAAGTCTTGTTTTTTTATCACTGCGTATCGAGATACGTATCGTATCGTGAGAAATATGTCGAGATGCCTATCGTATCGTGACCTTCCTGTATCGTTGCAGCCCTACAGTCAGCCATGTCGACCTTGTTCCCCTGTGGTGTTAAGCTAACAGCCACGATGAACACACACATGACACTATAGCCAAGTCAATCAGCCATTTGTCACTAATCCCATTATCAACGTACTAGTTTCAAAATACTGTAAATCGGGAAAGTTTTTCACCATGCAATTATTCCGAGTGGGTAACAAACAGGCTTCAACAGCGTCTGGAAAGTTTCGCGACACCCTCTTGATGAGATTACCAAACAACAAATCTACTTTTGTACATTTTTTTATTTTTTATGAGTAGGAAGCAGTGCAATGAATATTTTAAGAAAAGAAATGTCAGAATTAATGGATAAGCGTCTTGAGGGCTACCACATGGTTACCACATTCCTAGTGAGTGAGTGAGGGAGGGATTTGGCTAATTCATTGTTGCAGCATGAATCAGAAGAAAAAAAGAGAAATATGTAACATGCATCATAAGCAAGATAATGTTTTATAATAATCAGTGACCTCCATACCCCTGCCCGTGGTTTCTTAAAGGTGGTAAACATTTAAGAGTTGCCTCCCTTTGGGCGTTCATCCCATTTCAAGAGGACATCCTGTGATATAACTGAAATATTATCTAAAGCGGATTCAAACCAACTCCCTCACTCACTTATGTTACATGATGAACCAGTCACTGTAAGGAGATGTATTTATTGCAGATAGCATCACGATCAAAGACAGCAGGAAGCGCATCGTTGCCAACGAGGTGTGGGGAGCTCTACGTGGCCTCGAGACTTTTAGCCAGCTTGTCTGGAAAGGTACAGATGCTAAAGTGAGTCTGTGCATCGTAATTTTCCAAAATCTTTTCATTTGAAATCAGCATGTAGTGCACACAGTGCACAGGTCACAAATCAGGCAAAGTTCAGCTGCACGAGTCGTTGGATGGGTGACCGTGTTCAGCAGCTTGGTTCCTGAGAGTTTCTAGGGCTTCGGTCCTGCCCCACACTGTAGAACATGCAGTACATGTGGTGTCTCCTGGGGCAGGTGACCTCGTTCGAAATGTACCTCTGTTCACCCAGCTGTGAATGGGTACCCGGTAGGATGAGATGGTAATATGATAGTTAAGCTTCTGATGTTTCATGGGCATCTTTGGTTGTATACTGCCAAGGTAGCTGAGAATGAAAATCAGGTGTACAGCAGAGGAAGCCATGCAGAAGTTGTGGACCCTTCGGCTTCGCACTTAAGGTGATGATGACACTACTGGTGATGTGGAACTCGGTACCATTGGCGTCATGCGTTCCAGATATCTATCGTCTTCACTGGGGTACTACCTTCAGTCACATGGGGAGACTCTTAACGTATGAGCAGACGTGGTATCATACGTTTGCTATTGAATTGCCCAAGATCTCTAACTATCCGACTCTGCCTCGAGATATTTGTAAGAATGCTAGTCTTCTAAGAAATCATACATCCTGTGATGAGAATATGAGGGCTGTATTGAATTTTACTTATCGCGTACATCACAACACTTTCAAAGACATGTTAGAAGGGGTTGCTTTGATCAGAAATATTATTCGTCAAGGTCAAATTGTTGGTTCTCAGACTTGCTCCAAGAGAGTATTACTACCTTTTATTGGTGAATTCTCACATAATTTATTTGGAACCGCACATGACAGCGACGTGAACATAATACGACAACATATCAATATCTTATCAAATAGAATGAGAGCGGAAGAAGCAGCTTTTAATGTGTCACAGGATTACATGGGTTCGTACATGTCTAAGGCCAATGACAGAATGGATGGTTTGAAGCAAGGCTAATTGCAAATCATAATGAATTGACTGAACTAATAAAGGTAGAGAGAGAATGGTAAGATACGATGGTTTCAGGCCATGTATGCACATTGGATACAACTGGTTGCAAAGGAGTTACATTTTGCTACTATGGTTGAAAGGAAGACTGATCGGTTGAGCACGGGATTATATAAGTTATTACAAAATGTATTATCACCCGAGTTGATACCTTTCCGACACTTAAGGCGGACTCTATCAAAAATAAGGAGAGCATTGAAATGTCACAGTTTTAGAAATTTAAGTGATCTCAGACATACTAGTGTCCTCTTGTATAAATGTTGATTGTTTTACTGTATTCAAGATGTTACTTTTACTACATGTTTAATGCTTTTGTGCTTACCTATATGCATTTATTTATAATATATATGAAGGAGTACACCTACCATATGAGAAAAACATATGTTAAATTTCATGGGAGAAAAGCTATCCGTTATATGTTACCAGGATGTTGTAAATGGTGCATTGTATTGCACCTCCGGAGTTGATAGATTGCACGTGCGATCACTGCCCAATGAGACATTTGACAATATTCTATGTAGGTGCATGTCCAGTGACTTTACGATAAGTTGATGTTGTTTAGATATTGAAAAAAACAAAAACTATTGTGATTGTTGAGTCAGGTGAGATGTTGTTTGTTTACTGTGTATAGATGCTGAAGCTAAATTTCAACATTTACTTGAGAAATTATAAGAACAAACTGTTGTAATCTTCAGTTAAAGAGGACTTCATGGAGTGTAATGCATGAATTTAAAGTAATTTCCTATTTGATTTACAAATGACTGAATTTGGGACAATTAACTCTTTTGGACATCAGAGTCAACGTTTTCGCTGTCATACATGTAGGAATGAGCAACCTCAATCTATAAGATGATGGAGAGAATCATTTCTAAATAAACTTCCACATGTAATAGGACATTTTTGATCATTTGATATGGAGAACTTTTCTCATTGGATCGAGACCATAAGAGTCAGAGTAAGTTGAATATGTTCTAGAACATACGGACATGGAACATGTTGATGATACAGAATAGTAAGACTATATATTGGATACGTAGAACTCTGAAACTGATCATCAGTTGGTTATTGGTGTTGTGATACTATTGTGATTTTTGCCTGAAGGAAAATGCTCATATGTCTTTACATATAAGATCGAAATGTTAAGAAATGTTTTTATTACCAATCTGCATCTACTGAAAAAGCGTACAAAGAAGAATTGTTTGATTATGCCTTTATAAGTCTTGGCATGTTATCATTCTCAGATAGGTACAACCCAAGACAGATCCTATCTGAGACATTACTTTGTAAAATTTTATTGTATTAATTTATCTGGTCCTCAGATGCATACATACACATGTTATTACATATTGATATTGTACTATTGTATTTACATCTTATATTTTATTATCATTGGTCAATCGCATGGGACATGCTCTACAACGGGAAGGGCATGTATAACCATGGTATTTTGGAAAAAGGTTTTTTTAATATTTACTTAAAATGTAGTTTACTAAATTGAGCTTTTGGGTAAAATATGGATGCATATGAGAGAAGTGACCGTACAGGGTGAGGGCATAACCCCCAGGGCATATGATTATCGATTTTGCTTCTCTTAAGTGATAGAGATAACTTTTCATTAATCTGAGGAAATTAGTAGAATACGGTCTTGTAGTATAAGGGTCAGAAGGGAAATGAATCGATGGGACAAAAGTTGGTAAGTCCGGATGTGATCAAATATTTCTATGTCTAAATAACAAGCTTCATTTGAATCACAATCTTTTCGGCGCCTTCCAATCTGGCAGAGTATTGGGTTTACATCTAGGGTTGTTTAGAGTTGAGGGTATGTTCGGTTGACCAATGATTTGACCATTAATTTAGGAAATTAGTTGAGTGTTTGGTTAGAAGAACTTGATGGGAAGACTGATTGAAATGGGAATTGGGGGTTCATAGAGAAGTGAGCGTTAAGACTTATTTCTCAGGATGTCAAATATGATTTCGGTGGGAGGAGTTAAAATTATCATCGATAGTATTTTGTTAGTTGTCCGAGAGTGGTGCGGGGAGTCGGGAGCAGACAGCTGAACAGAAAGGTTCACTGTGGTTTTGGGATCCCGAGTCAGAAAAGAAGTAGAGTTAACGTTCATCAGAAAAACCATCAGGCTCTTCAACCATCATCTAGGTATGTGTTGTATTTATATCAGGCAACAACAAGAACTAATCTGAGGACCATGTGTACATATTTATGATTAATTCTATCATAAATAAAAAGAGGCTGGAGCAAACCATCTGACTTGTGATTTTCAAGAGAGCTACATCATCCCTAGAACCAAGGAGCAGTGGATAAGTAGAAGTGACCATAGGTAGAAGGGTAAAGTACCCGGAACCTAAGGTTACAGTACACTGATCCATTGACCTGGATAGTTATGTTGGCGCTTTGTGCATGCAGCTTGTATATTTAGTTTAGTGCATTATAAGTAATCGGTAACTAAATATCGATCAGTTATCGATAAATAAAGGAGAAGTATCTTTATCACCCAAAACTGTCTCCCACAGAAGATATCCTTGGGTGAGATCAAGCATATTTACACTGTAGATATCACTGCAATGAAATTACATCACAATGCTTTGCAGACCATTTTGACGTCATTGGTTACCATGACGTCACAATCAAATGACGTCACTAATGGCTCTGCTACTGAAGCTGTTAGCAGTACTTTTTACATTTAAGACACTGCTTATTACTGTCTACAAACTGAACAAGTTGGAAGAATGATGTTGGATAATAAATAAAATCTCACCCTTGTGTCTTTTGATATCAAATATATCAACACTCGTTGATAAAAGTGGAATAACTCATCGGCAAGCCTCGGAGTGTTCCACTTTTATCAACGAGTGTTGATATATTTGATATTGAGATTCTCTATTTGAGCAAATACGCAAAAACAATTCCTGAAGAAATCAACATATTTCACTGCACTGGTGAATGGTGGCACATTTATTCAGAGATTACTTTGTGGGCATTTGAGATATAATAAAAAAAGTTATGTTATTTTCTATCTTCAGCAATTAACATTATTGACAATAACATTTCTGTTTGGGTAAATCTAAACTTTATTTCATCAAAATAGTTTATGTAAGGTATTATCGATGACACAATTTTCATATCGATAATCGTTAATATTACTTCCCATTGAGACCCGTGAAGATCCGGGGTGGAATAGGTCTTCAGCAACCCATGCTTGCCATAAAAGGCAACAATGCTTGTCGTAAGAGACGACTAACGATCTCGGGTGGTCGGGCTCACTGACTTGGTTGATGCATGTCATCAATCCCAATTGTGAATATCAATCACTGGATTGTCTGGTCCAGACTAGATTATTTACAGACTGCCATCATATAGCTGAAAAATTGCTGAGTGTGGAGTTAAACAAACAAACAAACTTTCCATTTATGATAATTCCGATTATCGATCTTTTTTGACAGTCCTAATAATCTGTAATGAAATTATCAATATCGTTGTTGTTGTTTTATAATCTCTGTCATTGTTGTTATTTCAGCTGTATGTGATGGAGACTATAGCTATAGACAAGCCTCGGTTTCCTCACCGAGGTGTCCTAATTGATACAGCACGGCACTTCATCTTCAAGGACGTCATCTACGACATTCTGGTAAGTGATGACTCCCCCTGCTGTCGTTGAGACACTGAAGTAGAAGTATTAGCAGCAGCAGTAGTAGAAGCAGTAGCAGTAGCAGTAGTAGTAGCAGTAGTAGTAGCAGCAGTAGTAGTAGTTGTAGCAGTAGTAGTAGTAGAAATAGTAGGTGTAGCAGTAGTAGTAGAAGTTGTAGCAGTATTAGTAGTAACAGTAGTAGTAGTAGTAGAAGTAGTAGTTGTAGCAGTAGTAGTAGTTGTAGCAGTAGTAGTAGTAGAAGTAGTAGTAGCAGCAGTAGTAGTAGTTGTAGCAGTAGTAGTAGTAGTAGAAATAGTAGGTGTAGCAGTAGTAGTAGAAGTTGTAGCAGTATTAGTAGTAACAGTAGTAGTAGTAGTAGAAGTAGTAGTTGTAGCAGTAGTAGTAGAAGTACTAGCAGCAGAAGTTGTAGTAGTAGTAGTAGTAGTAGTAGCAGTAGTAGTAGTAGTAGCAGCAGTAGTAGTAGTAGCAGCAGCAGTAGTAGCAGCAGTAGTAGAAGGATAAGCAGTAGTAGAAGTAATCTTAGTAGTAGTAGTAGTAGTAGTATGGGTCTTAGTACTTAAGAGTAGTCTTTTTGTCCTGCTCATGTTTTGTGTGTTGCAGCGTGGCATGGAGCAGAACAAGCTGAATGTGTTTCACTGGCACATGACTGACGACCAGTCGTTCCCCTTCCAGAGTGAGGCCTTCCCCGAGATGAGCGCCAAGGTCAGCCCCCCACCCTGTACCATCAGCCCCCACCCTGTACCATCAGCCCCCACCCTGTACCATCAGCCCCCCACCCTTGTACCATCAGCCCCCCACCCTGTACCATCAGCCCCCCACCCTGTACCATCAGCCCCAACCCTTGTACCATCAGCCCCCCACCCTGTACCATCAGCCCCCCACCCTGTACCATCAGCACCAACCCTGTACCATCAGACCCCCACCCTGTACCATCAGACCCCCACCCTGTACCATCAGCCCCCCACCCTGTACCATCAGCCCCCACCCTGTACCATCAGCCCCCCACCCTGTACCATCAGCCCCCACCCTGTACCATCAGCCCCCCACCCTGTACCATCAGCCCCCCACCTTGTACCATCAGCCCCCCACCCTGTACCATCAGCCCCCCAACCTTGTACCATCAGAGCTCCAGATAAGCTGCCTATCTGCGTAAAATACGCATCAGTAATGCAGAAATACACTGTAAAATAAAATCCAAGTGTATCAAATATGCAACGAACATTACAGATACGCTACAAAAATATAACTTGTGCGTATCATCAAAATATTGTGAAGTAACCCTGCGTATTCGATTAGCAAATCAGCAACTTATTTTGAAATTATAAACGGGCATTCCGTCAACCTTGCCAAACTCCACGATGACAGTTACATCATGATCATTTGCCATCACACTTTCTTGTGGAAGTATCGTGGTATTTTTGAGTCCTATAAAGCTCTCGAACCCACACAACACCAGTTTGCAGGGACTAGATGAATAGTGTTTTTAAATATTTAACTTAAATACCACCATGTGTAAAAACTAGTGGGTAACAGAAATTTGAATACCCAGATAGAATTACTGATACCCAATGATTATAAAATGCATGGGTAAAATACCCACAACACCAAAAGCTGATCTGGAGGTCTGACCATGCAGGTGAGAAGACATCAGATGGGCTTCAACGTCACTTGATGTCTTCCATGTGGAGCGCGTGTGGACACGATGTGGTCATTGCTGTGGTATTTTCCCCCGATACAGTTAATCTTGTTATTTTTGTCTCAATAATCTAAAAATATCGTTTCAGGCGACGTTATTTTGTTGCTCCAATACTATGATCTTATTGCAAACTTGGGATAACTCGCCATGTATTGATCATGAAGGATTTTGAGTTGACAAGATTTGATGTTAAATCTGTGAGGAACAGTGTGTATGTTTCCGAGCTATGAATATCTAGCTTTTTAAGTACGACTCTGTGATCTGTTCGCCACTAGGGGGCGTACCACTCTTCCTACGTCTACACACACGAAGATATCGTGGACATTGTTGAGTTTGCAAGACTTCGAGGCATCCGGATTGTTCCTGAGTTTGACGTACCAGGTAAGCAGGACTGACTCAGTTTCAAAGTGGTTCAAGTATTTCAGTTTTCTCGCAGCATGTCAGCTTATGTGCAAGTTAGCCAGAAATGATGCAGGTTGTTTACCATTTTGGTGCAAACCACAAGTTATGTTGCTGACAACCCTGGAACCAGAATCAGCGTGACCCGGGATTCGAACCCAGGATATGAGGTTTCTAGCTTGGCTTCAGTTGGGGGTGCAGCTCTGCACAGCTACCCAGGCCCCATGTTAACAACTCAACAATCAAGCAGGGGCAATGGTGGCCAGGTGGTCTAGAGTTATGCCCCTTAGCCACACCAGGATCCTATTTTTGTGGTTTGTCATCGTCAGATTCGCCATTATCCTTTGTCTGTAAGCACTGTATCCACGAGGAATCTCTCTCTTTTCCTCTTTTTGTTGTGTAAGGCCCCACTCAGCGATATTCCAGCTATATAATGGCGGTCTGTAAATAATCAAGTCTGGACAAGACAATCCAGTGACTGACATCATGAGCATCAATCTACGAAATCAGGATACGATGACATGCATGAACCAATTCAGTGAGCCTGACCACCCAATCCCGTTAGTCACCTGTTGTGACAAACATGGGTTGCAGAAGACCGATCCTAGCCCGGATGTTCCCAGCTACCTGGCTTGTACAGAATGACACGCTGTGATATCACTGAAATGCTGTTCAATGCAGGGTTGAACCCAACTCACTCACTCACTCATTACTTCAGTTACATCACAGCATAATTTATGATAGATGAAGGAAGAAATTACTTATCTGGAGATGGAGATGATCCTGGCATTATGATCTAGAGTTAGTGAGTGAGTGAGTGAGTGAGTATGGTTTTACCCCCCTTTTAGCAATATTCCAGCAATATCACGGCGGGGAACACCAGAAATGGGCTTCACACGTTGTATCCATGTCGGGAATCGAACCCGGGTCTTCGGCATGACGAGCGAACGCTTTAACCACTAGGCTACCCGACCCCCCCAATTTTGAAGTATAAAAAGTTCTTTGATAGTGTTTGAATACATGTCCTGAGTATGACCTATTTTGGAATGTAGCAGAGGTGAGGTGAGGTGAAATTGGGTTTAACGTCGCGTCCAAGATTATTGCACTTATATAGCGACGTGCATGCACGTGTATGTGTGTGTGTGTGGCTGCTTGTACTAGTCCGGACTGATGCCGATTTATAGTGCTAGCTCACTGAGATACCATGCCGCAGTTTAACATGAATACCCCACTTAGACACAGTATACTGACTCCGAGCCGACCAGTCCTTGTTTTAGCCCCTTAATGCCGAGCGCCAGACAGGGTAACAACAAGTACAATCTTTTAACGTCTTTTTGTATGACGCGGCCCGGGATCGAACCCTGGACCTTCCGCTCTCCGGGCGGACGCTCTACCACAAGACCACGGAGGCGGTCCGGAATGTAGCAGATGCAAGAGAGACGTCCTAGACCAATTCCTAGTCAAACAGACCCTTGTACTCTTAAAACAGATGTCCATGTGCAGTGGCTAATCATCTTCCCGAGGCAAGAGAGTTGCCGAACTAGGCTGGCATTATGGAGTTACATTTTGGCTGGACTAACGAGTCTATGCATAGTCCAATCAAAATCGCGCAACGAAATCAAAATCCGGTTCGTAAACTGTCATGCAGATTTCGGTCAATTGTCAGATTTGCACAGCATGTGTACCACTCGTTGTCAACAGATATTTTCCAAATGTTTTCATGTTTTTAATCAAGGTGCTAACTTGATTTGATGCATTTCACGATGTAAGACCCGTTTTATCACAATATAGATCTTGATTATCGATCAGATCGTCCTGACTGGACGCCGCCATTTTGTTTGAAGCAAATGCAAGTGATACAAGAAGTTGAATTTGATTGGTCCATGGGGGAGGCTTAGAAGGGGCATAACTCATAAAAGCCACTGGTGGCGCTACGATCAAGCCCAGGGATTTGGCAAGGGTGGAAACTGGACTTTTAAAGTCTGGTTACTCACTTGCCTCGGGAATATGTGGCTAATATGTTCAATGATTCACATTCTGTGATTAGCAGCGTATGGAACAGGTATCAACAAACCCAAAATGCTGACGATCAACCCCGTTCAGCGCGTCCTAGGTCATCGACAAGAGTACAACTTAACTTGGACAACTCACTCCGACAAACTCGTCACTTAACTTGGGACAAGACACTCAAACACACCCATCGCTTAATTTGGGACATCTCACCCAAACACCTGTTGCTTAACTTGGGACAGCTTGCGCAAACACATCCGTCTCTGGACGTGGGACATCTCGCTCAGACTAAGCCGTCGCTTAACTTAGGACAGCTTGCTCAAACACATAAGTCAGGTAACTTGGGACAGCTTGCTCAATCATACCTGTCCGGTAAGATGGGACAGCTTGTTCAAACACACCTGTCAGGTAAGATGGGACAGCTTGCTCAAACACACCTGTCAGGTAACTTGGGACAGCATGCTCAAACACACCTGTCAGGTAAGATGGGACAGCTTGCTCAAACACACCTGTCAGGTAAGATGGGACAGCTTGCTCAAACACACCTGTCAGGTAACTTGGAACAGCTTGCTCAAACACACCTGTCAGGTAAGATGGGACAGCTTGCTCAAACACACCTGTCAGGTAAGATGGGACAGCATGCTCAAACACACCTGTCAGGTAAGATGGGACAGCTTGCTCAAACACACCTGTCAGATAACTTGGAACAGCTTGCTCAAACACACCTGTCAGGTAACTTGGGACAGCTTGCTCAAACACACCTGTCAGATAACTTGGGACTGCTTGCTCAAACACACCTCTCAGATAACTTGGGACAGCTTGCTCAAACACACCTGACAGGTAACTTGGGACAGCCTGCTCAAAAACATCCATTGCATACAACTTGCAAGTTTTTTGTGAATCTCATGTTTTCCTGCTCTGTATCTGACAGACTCCGTTGGACAGCTCAACATATTTAGTTGAGATATTATCATACTCAGTCAGGAGTTTGCTTTGATAAAAGGTGGAAAGAACTTCCAATATCGGGAAGAAAATACCATTTTATGATAGAAAGTGGTTAATTATTCCCACTTTCGATAAGTGTGTACAAAAGCTGTACTTTGGGGGATTTATTTATTGATTTAAAGAACATTTTGTTTTCAATTTTTGCCTGTTGATATTGATGCTCTGATCGAAGGCCACCTGGGGGGATACACTGTTATACAAGTTATACGCATGACACATCATGGTTCAATAGCTAAGTAATCTTCACTAAGGACTTTATTGATCATATTCATGGTTCAGAGAGCACTTTTCAAAAGGAATTGTACAGGAGGCAGTTTGTACTGAAGCATGTCTCTTTACAAGATGAGCCTGCAAAAATAACCTTGATAAATACAAGATGCAATTTTTATGTACTGAAAGACACAGTGTGGCAATTAGGGTGACACACTCATACTCCAGCCAAATAGCCACTCATACTCGGGCCGTATAGCCACTCATACTCGGGCCGTATAGCCACTCATACTCGGGCCGTATAGCCACTCATACTCGGGCCGTATAGCCGCTCATACTCCGACCAAATAGCCACTCATACTCCGGCCAAAAAGCCACTCATACTCCAGCCAAATAGCCACTCATACTCCAGCCGAATAGCAAATCATACTCCGGCAAAATAGCAAATCATACTCCGGCTGAATAGCCACTCATACTCCAGCCAAAAAGCCACTCATACTCCAGCAAATAGCCACTCATACTTTGGCCGAATAGCCGCTCATACTCTGGCCGAATAGCCACTCGTACTCTGGCCGAATAGCAAATCATACACCGGCCGAATAGCCACTCATACTCCGGCAAATAGCCACTCATACTCTGGCCGAATAGCCACTCATACTCCAGCAAATAGCCACTCATACTCCAGCCAAAAAGCCACTCATACTCCAGCAAATAGCCACTCATACTCCAGCCAAAAAGCCACTCATACTCCAGCAAATAGCCACTCATACTCCAGCCAAATAGCCGCTCATACTCCGGCAAATAGCCACTCATACTCTGGCCGAATAGCCACTCATACTCCAGCAAATAGCCACTCATACTCCAGCAAATAGACGCTCATACTCCGGCAAATAGCCACTCATACTCCGGCAAATAGCCACTCATACTCTGGCCGAATAGCCACTCATACTCCAGCCAAAAAGCCGCTCATACTCCGGCAAATAGCCACTCATACTCTGGCCGAATAGCCACTCATACTCCAGCCAAAAAGCCGCTCATACTCCAGCAAATAGACGCTCATACTCCAGCAAATAGCCACTCATACTCCGGCAAATAGCCACTCATACTCTGGCCGAATAGCCACTCATACTCCAGCAAATAGCCACTCATACTCCAGCCAAAAAGCCACTCATACTCCAGCAAATAGCCACTCATACTCCAGCCAAATAGCCGCTCATACTCCGGCAAATAGCCACTCATACTCTGGCCGAATAGCCACTCATACTCCAGCAAATAGCCACTCATACTCCAGCAAATAGCCACTCATACTCTGGCCGAATGGCCACTCATACTCTGGCCAAAAAGCCGCTCATACTCCAGCAAATAGCCACTCATACTCTGGCCGAATAGCCACTCGTACTCTGGCCGAATAGCAAATCATACTCTGGCCGAATAGCCACTCATACTCCGGCTGAAAAGCCACTCATACTCCAGCCAAATAGCCACTCATACTCCGGCTGAAAAGCCACTCATACTCCAGCCAAATAGCCACTCATACTCCGGCCGAATAGCAAATCATTCTCCGGCCAAATAGCAAATCATACTCCGGCCGAATAACAAATCATACTCCGGCCAAATAGCAAATCATACTCTGGCCGAATAGCAAATCATACTCTGGCCGAATAGCAAATCATACTCCGACCAAATAGCAAATCATACTCCGGCCGAATAACAAATCATACTCCGGCCAAATAGCAAATCATACTCCGGCCAAATAG